TGCGTTTTCCCAAACGCTACAGCCTCAAAACAGAGATGCTTTTTTCAAGACCTTGTCAAACATGGGAATTTTACCAGCATTAGAAGTCATTCTCGTATGTTACTTCTTTAATTACTGTTTATTTTTAGCCTAATTCTTATATATGCAACAACATACACACACATAGTTGATTATAGCCAACATTTAATGTTAGCTGTGTATTAGGTAAATGTATGGCTGTATAAAATCCCGTATTAGAATTCTTGCATTAATACTGAAAAAATGCCGAGTGAGGAATTTCCAGTATGCTTAATAATTGTTCCCTAACTTTGTAGCTCGTTTAGTTAAACAATTGTTGTTTTATATCACTGAATTGGAACCAAATCATATTTGACCCTCAGCAGGTTTCCAGAGGCAGTAAATCACATGGGAAGAGATTGCACATGTTTCTGAGTTGGCAGCACAGCTCCTTACCACTAAGCTACCAGACCTCACTTAAAGTGTTATAGGTGGGAAAAGAAAAAAAATGAAGGAGTTAGTGGTTTAGAAAATATCATTTTATCCATTAAAGCTACAAGTTCAGTGTGTTTAGAAGTTAAAGAGAACCGTATGCTTTGTCTCTGCAGGGCATGGATGATGCACAGGTGCGAAGTGCTGCTACTGATATATTCTCATACTTGGTTGAATATAATCCATCCATGGTACGAGAGTTTGTCATGCAGGAGGCACAACAGAATGATGATGTAAGTAAGAAGTTAACAGAGCAAAAAATAACCAACAAGGTAAATATTACTCACACTAATAGTATTTGTACATGGGGACCTATTTATCTGTAATAGTTAGTGTTTGGGAAAAGTGTTGATAGAATACCAAATGGCTTGTTCTTTTCTCCTAAACTTGCTCCAGTGTCAGGCACCAAAAAGAAATTTTATTTATTCTTACTGCAATTAATAACTCACTTTTTATTAATTTAAGATGAAATTTTGAAGTTTTACATTAATTTACTGTACCATCATTTCAGTTTTTTATTGGTTTCTTCATTCGGATGTTTGGGATTATGAGAAATGTGCCTAGGAAAATACTGACTTTACTAGGGATTTTTAAAAATAGTAATAATCTCCTAAGTTGATGCTTTTGCATTGATTTCCCAACTCTGTGACCCTATTGGACAGAGTAGAATCCATCAGTTTCTCTGGCTGTATGTCTTAATGGGAGCAAGCTGCAACACCTTTCCCCACTGGTTGGTTAGTGGGCCCAAACCACCAGCCTTTCAGTTAGCAGCTCAACTCTTAGCTCACAGTACACCAGAGCTCTAAAACTCAAACCCATTACCACTGAGTAGGAGCCATCTCAGCTGGCCATCTACTAGGTTTCCAAGGTTGTAAATCACACAAGAGATTGCCTGTCTCCTTCTGCAGAACCACTGGTAGATTTCAAACCACCAGACGAGCGTGGCCTGGGGTTAATAGTGCCTCTGTTTAAGGACTCCCTTTCCTTAGAAGAGATTACCCATATCATCGAGAGTAAAGAAAGAATTAAGGACCTGCACCCTTGGAAAGTATTCTTAAGTTAGGACGTTAACCATAAGGAACAAGCTGTTTTTGTTTTTACTCCCCTGGAATCTGTGAGGAAATATTCCTTGATAATGTGAATGGTACGCCCAGAGCATATGATTCAAGCTGCTCTGATTGTGTGTACTACTCTCTTTCATTTTCAGATGGTTTACTCTGTTATCAATGGTTTTCCTCCCTCCCATAAAATCGTGGGAAGTAATTAACTTTAGACTAAGATACACTACTTTGAACCTTCAGGTTTAGGGAGAAGAGGGAAACATTACCTCAGAGGGGAAAATACCCTGGTGAATTCCACCTTGCCCATGATATTTTAATAGAAGGAGGTTGGGTTTTTTTTGAGATTTTTTTTTTTAAAGTTCTCAATTACTGTGTCATGATGTCAAAAGGAAGTGACATGCTTATTAACCTCTATATTTAAGGAATTTTTATTATCGTAGTGCTAGAGGAAGAGCAGGATATTGACTGCTTATGCTGTTGAACATTAGACATAACTTGAGAAACAAAAATATATTATTGAAAGTAAAAGTTGGGCTGGCCCTATATTGTTGATGGTTTAAATAAGTCTGCAAACTGCAATCCCAAAGGCATGCAATTTGAGGCCACCAGCTGTTCCGTGGGAGAAGGATGGGCAGTCTCCTCCCATGCCTCTGAAAACTGCCTCTGAAAACCCATTGGAGGATCAGCTGTGGGTTGATTCTGACTGGTATACAACAACAAAGTCCTGCTACTTCCTTCCATTTGAGTGCAGTAGCCTGTTGATTCCCAACTTTGATCATTATGTTCATATGCCGTGTGCATTTTCTCTGTGCTTGTCCTTCCCACCATTGTGCAAATAGGAAAGAATGACATTTTCTCATTCAGCTCTTCTCTATTTTCATTTACCACTTGGGCCGGGAAAGCTTTCCCTTCCCCCCCCCAATCTTTTTTTAAAAGGAAAAACTATATAAATTAAAAACCAATGTGTCACAGGTATAAAAAATTCTATGGAAATAAAAATAAAAACATAACACTATAATAAATTGGGACTAAATATGCTTGCTTTAAAGTTATGGTCCTAAGACCTGTTACTTTTTGTTAAAAGAGAGGTAACATCAAAATTAAAGGACACTTTCTTTTTTGTACTATTTATGCTAATGTTCCTGTAACACATTTTAGGAAAACACTGCCATAAATCCTTTTAGAGAAGTCGGTCATTTCCTTTCTTTTGCAGTAACACAGCATCTAGAGCTATATATAGTGCTGAAGTGTACAGCTTAATAGTGTGTGTTTTGTCCATTCTTTTCCTTAATAAGTGGTCCTAATTATGTGTATTTTTCTCACCAGGACATTCTGCTCATCAACCTCATTATAGAACATATGATCTGTGATACAGATCCTGAACTTGGAGGAGCAGTCCAACTGATGGGCCTGCTTCGAACTTTAGTTGACCCAGAGAACATGCTAGCCACTGCCAATGTAAGCCAAGGGGGTTTTCTGGTTTTCATAAATGATAATAATCATTAATTACTGATAGGAGTCAAGGCAATTAAAGTTCATGCAAATGTTCTTAATTCCATAGAAAACAGAAAAGACTGAGTTTCTGGGTTTCTTCTACAAGCACTGTATGCACGTACTCACTGCTCCCTTACTGGCCAATACAACAGAAGAGAAACCCAGTAAAGGTAAGACAACTCAGATTCTAATCATAAGTTAAAACTTGATGTTGGCTAACAATGTGTATTCGAAAGAGCTGTTATGTTAAAATGTCACTTAAAAGTGCTACACTCTGAAGTAACAGAAACGTGTAATAAAAGAAGGGAATTGATTGCTTCAGTATTTTAATATTTGCTACTTTTTATAGTATACACTATAGTTATGTAAGCATATAAAGGGGGGGAAGGGACAAAGATTATCTTGGAAGATGTTAAAAGCTGAAAACCAGTTGTGTGGAAGGTATTATCCTGTCCTCTTTAGAGATAAATAGATCAGATGAAAGTGAGCAAAATATCAGTCAGAAGGTTGTTGCCTTATGAGGAGGAAAGATAAGACACTAATTTATAGTTCACTGTGGACTTGATATGTGATGTTAAAGGGGGGGGGTGGACAACATTAGTCTGACAGTTTTTAAAGAAAAGCTTACATGTAAATCTCAATCACTAAATACGTTGTTCAGCCACTATCAATCAATCACCAAAGAGCACCAAATGATTTTTGGTTTTTCTTATTTTGTTTTCTTGGCAAGGGGAGGGGTGCAACGTATTAAGGTATGATAGAGTGGATTTGTACTCTACTTTACTATTGTTATGTGCTGTCAAGTTGCCTGCAACTCATAGTGACCCAAGGTACAGCATCTCTGAAGCCCTGTCCTGAGCCAGTCTCACTGATTTCAACCCATTGCCCCAGTTACTATATCAGTCCATCTCATCTGGGATCTTTCTTTCCTGCATTGTCCCTCCACCCTTCTGAGCATAATGTCTTTCTCCAAGAACCAGTCCCTCCTGGCCAGAGCTTCAAAATCGTGTTAGGACATATTAATTAACAAATTTGTAGTTTCTTATAACCCTGACTCGTTCGTAGGAAACCCTCTAGTATGTTTTCAGAGGCTGTACCTCATAGGTGAAGTGATTGCCCATCTTTGTCCTATGGAGCAGCTGATGGATTCGAACCACTTGCCTTTGGATTGGCAGCACAACTCCTTATCCACTGTACTACTAGAACTCATGAATATAACTTTATAAGCTGACCCTTGAACAACACAGGTTTGAACTTTGTGTGACACAAATCACCTCACACAAAGGTGATTACCAATGATTTCCAGTATTTCGGCTCACAGTAACACCAGGGAGGAAACCATAGTGTGGTGTTCGAGGGTCAGCGGTCTCTATAAATCACAGAGCCTGGCATGTATTTTGCATACAGTAAATGTCGGGATTCTTTTCCCGTTAAACTTAAAATAGTTTAGATTTTAAAGCTAGGGTCGATTTTCAAATGTTAAATAGAAGTAGATTTTGATTCTAATTTAGGTTTTTCTTTAATAAAAATATTAACCACTCAATATAATTGTATTTTGTTTATTTCAGATGATTTTCAAACTGCCCAGTTGCTGGCACTTGTCTTAGAATTACTAACATTTTGTGTGGAGCACCATACCTACCACATAAAGAACTACATTATCAACAAGGATATCCTCCGGAGAGTGCTAGTACTCATGGCTTCAAAACATGCTTTCTTGGCATTATGTAAGTGTCATTTCTGAAGAAATTATGGATTATCTTACTATGTTATTGACATTGTCAGAGCCAAGAAAAATTATTTCTGACTTAACAGACTAGAAATCAAAGTTCAGTACTATGTCTACCACACTTTCTAGTAATAGTTTAACCTTATTGAACCATTGATTTTCCTAATAATAAACAGCAACAGTTTAACAATTATAAACTACAAACAAGCTAACTAAAGTCTTGTATTTAGTTAGTAAAACAACACCTTGGATTTTACCCATTGTTTTAGAGCTAGGGTGCAGCCTAGTAGTAAGTCCACCCTATGAGCTTTGTTTTTAACCGTTAAGCCAAAATGTTTTATGTGTGTGTTTCAAGAGCTATATTTTAAAAATTTCTATGAAGACCATATATGGGCCACAAGGCATAAAATCTGTTTGCTTGACGAGAAAGCTTTATAGACCTTTTTAGAGCAGCAGATTCTTTCATCAAGAGTTGTTCTTAGAAACAAGTTGTTCACAGATTGCATTCTTCAGACCCTAGTATGTTGGAGTAAACTTGTTTATGAATTGACAGCACATTAAGCCTACCAGTGTGGTTTGATCATGTAGCAGCAGCTAGCCTTCTTAGGTATTAAGTCTTCATAGTTAAGCTGTCCTCTCACTGTGAAGTGGCAGATCAAGTTTCAGGTATCCTAAAAGCTGTGGTTCTAGAGGAAGCCCCTCAACGAAGTGGATTGACAGAGTGACTGCACCAGTAGGCTTGACTGTCAGAGATTGTGAGGATAGCATAGGACAGGACAGGTTTCAGATGTGGTGTTCCTAGGATCACTGTGAGTTGTGCTCGACTCGGTGGTAACTAACAACAGAAGCTCTGGTGGCCTAGTGTAAGCAGTTGTGCTGCCAATTCAAGGCAAGTGTTTTGGACCCAGGAGCAGCTAAACAGGAGAAAGATGAGCAGACATCTCCCACGCTGTTTACAGCCTCTGAAAACCCCATTGGTGGGTCTGCTGTGAGTCAGTCCCAACTCCATAGCAGTGACTTTGAGTTTGAATTTTGTTTTGAGAGGGTGACTAGAAGTCTGCTGGTAACCGCTCTTGCCCTTTGGTTTTTAAAGGTAAGTTTTAAGTGAGTGTTTTGTTGTTTTATAAAGCATCACAGTTACCCACTTATTGGAAGTCTAAACATATATGTACTTTCTTTGGGGTTTTGTTGCATGATTTTTATTTTTTTTTAAATTCTTAAATCATAAAAACAACATTTTATCAGGATGTTTCTGATGGTAATTTAATATGTTCCCTTCTAAAATTTTTTCTAAACTTTATCAAGCTTTTCAGGTCATTTAGTATACTGTACACAGCACTATGTACCAGGAACACAAATGGCTATAGTATCTTTATTTTCCAGTTTTCAGATATCCAGTACAGCTACTTTCCGCTAATTATCCAGGATCTTTTTTTATATTCTCTTAAATTAACTCCAGTACAACGATTTTAAATTGTAACTGACATTAGACTATTAATCACAGCAAAAAGGAAACTGATTGTTTTGCTCTACTTTAAAATTGTGTGGAACCGAGCAAAAACAAAGGCTCGTGTTTGTTTTATCCTGTGTCTATATAGCAGCCAAAGTAAAAGCACTCTAGTCCAGTTAACCATCTATCATTTCATTGATTCTAAGATGTACTTGTTGATTATCTCTGAAATCAAAGTGTGTCTTAGAATTAATGGCAAGTTAGAATGTAATTAATTGGTAGCTCTTTGTTTCATTTTCTTATGTGTTGAAAAAAATGTTTTAGATCCACTGGCACCTTAGATTTTATGAATACCGTATGTACTCAATACTAGGAAAATGGAAGATGATTAAAATCTGGATTCAGCTGTCAAAGGAATATCTACTATCAGCTTGATTAAAAGTCATCTAAAAGTTACAGCACAATAAGCTTCGCGTGTCGGTATATCTGGAAGAGTAATATTGTGGAAACGTAGACAGCCCTACAGTGTGAATAAGATTTATTCCTGTGTCTTAAAAAAATTTTAGGTTCATCAAAACAGATGTACATAGTACTGATTGAGCCTTACTTTCAAAAAGTCTACAGTTTTTGATGACTTAAAAATGGAACATGAAGGTGATTATAATGAAGACTTTGTATCAAGTAGGAATTGATTAGTCATTTCAAGTGAGGACAAATTTATATAACATTAAAGTCAGGCTTCAAAGTTGGAGGCCATCTTTCACAAAGATGGCAGCTAGACATACTTCTTTGAACATGTGGAGTTTGTATTCCTATCAATATTCCAATCTCATGCATCAAGTTCCTGAAAGGGCTTTCTGCACCTTTTCTGAAGTTTCATTCCAGGGCTTGGACCTGTCAGTTTTCCACTTTTGGTTACTGTGAGGATTCACCCACATGGTAAAAACTCTGGTCTTTTGATGTTTTGCTTTATTTCCAACGTAGGATGGCTCAAAGCCATAGTTGTCCATAAGTGGGGTATTTTTAACCTGGATACTGCCTGTTTCTTTCTTGAGAAATGTTCATTCGGGAGTAACCTAGATCAGAACCTTTTCACACAGGAACCATGAATTGTGTCTTGGTCAGAGGAGAGTGAGATAGTCTTGGCTGAATACAGAGTTAAGATGTGCAAGCGAGAAGAAAACGGTGTGTTGACATTCTGGTCTGGATAGAAGAGGGCTCTGACAGAGTGGCAGGATTGAAAGGGAGGGCTTCAGTTCCTTTCTTCCATTGGGGCCTCTGCTCATCATTTGCATTTGCTTGGAACTAATATTAATCATAACACAACATAACTGTGAACCAAGTTCCTACATTTGTGAGAATTTCCCTTGAATGTTCGTGTATTTGCTGAAGAAAATACCATTTCATCAGTATTTTTTTGGCATTGTCAAGATTCATGGATCTTACATTGTCATTTTCTAGCTCATACTTTCATGGGTCTGTTTTTGTTGGTAAACCTTTTGTTAATATCTTTAGGTTTCCATAGTTTCAGTAACAACTCAAAAGACGTGTGAAAGTATGAGCTGTAAGTTTAGCTCTTAGGGAGCTCTGGTGACTTAGTGGTATCAGTTGCACTGCCAGCCTAAAGGTGTGAGGTTCGAATGCACCAGCTGCTCCATGAGCTAAAGATGGGCAGTCTCCCCCCCATGTCTCTGATAACACGCTGGAAAGTCAGCTGTGATTCACTTCTGATTTGATAGTACTTGACAACATAGAAACCTGGAATATGAATAAAGAAAAATAGACCTTTATTCTGCTTTCCTTAGTTATATATGAGGCAAAAGCCTCAAGTTTGAGGGCAAGCAGAGTACACTCTACACGGTTAGAGTACACACTACATGGAAGATGACGTGGTTATGCAGATTCTAACTGGCAGTTTTAAACAATTTGGCTTCATAGAATTCACTGGTAAATTACCTTTTCATTAGCAAAGACTAGTGGTTGGATGCTTTTGGTGAAGATTTCTTTGGAAAGCAGGAACTTGAGTAGAAAGAAATAGTTTTTCGTGTTTTAAGAATAAGGGTAGATGGAAATGATGACTGCCACTAATACCTCTATCGATATCAGCAATTTCTGCATAGACGTGTGTGTCAGGAGACAGGGCGATTGTTTGTCCAGCCTGTCTTAGTGAATGGTAGGAAGAGGGCACATCTCTCTTACCTAAGACTGCACACAGATCAGAAGGTTGGCCAACTAGTATATGTTACGATTGGACACAAGTCTTCATGAAGCCTGCAGAGTTCAAGTTTGGCTTCTTAAAATAATGCCTCTTGCCTTGATTACCAAAAGCTTAAGATTTGGCCTATTCAAATAAGCCCTGAAGTTATGAGTTGATTTTATGAAATGGAACTGCCTCACCAAGTTCCTTTGTCATTTATTTAAAAAAAAAACAAAAAAAAAAAACACAAAACCTCTAAGAGAGCTCTGGTGGCCTAGTGGCAAGAAGCTGCACTGCAATCCCAGAGGTATGCAGTTCAGATCCACAAGATGCTCTGCTGGAGAAGGAAGGGCAATCTCCTTCTATGCCAGTCAGATCCAATTAGATGGTACATGCACAAAAAATAAAATAAACAAGCTCCAAAAACATAGTTTGAGGAAAATAAACCCCTGTTAGACATTCATTTTTCCCACAGAAAGGTATCTTGTATTGTTTAAATTGTCTTAATTCACCATGCTTATACTCAGTAGTTTAAAAAATAAATTACTATTTTATAAATCCTTGAGATTTCCCTGCCCAGAGTGTGTTTCTTTAGAAAGATACACTCTTAAATAAGTTGAATTGTTAAAGCAGTTTGTAATCAACTGTACCTAATTGGGCATTCATTTGTGGACCTCTGTTCTGCCAACTAAAGAAAAATTGAGCTGCTTTACTCCTTGCCTTCCCACCCAGAAACCGTGTCAGCATGGTTGCCTGGCTACCTGCTCATGAAGGACTTGATTAATAGCAAATTGGCAGTTTAACGAGCCACTTCCATGATCTCCAAAGAAATCAAAATACAAACACAATATTTAATCTTGCCAACCGAAGAAGATGTGACTGCATGAAGTGAGTATGCTTTTTTGAACTGTTTACAATAACTGGGGCATTAACTTACTGACAATTCATTTAGGTAAACAGGGCTTGCTCAAACCTTGCAGTCTGAGTATATTTAGATCTTGACGAATGGTGACTTAAGTCATTCCCCATACCTCAAGATGTAAATATGCCTTTTACTCTGTAAGTTAAAGCCTAATTAATTGTTAAAAAGGAAAACTAGAAAGCAATTAAAAAGCATACTCGCTGCAATCAGTATTAGAGGACCACGTTTTTAAAAAAACATCCTTTAAAATTAATTATAAAATATGGGAAGGCAAATTTTGGGTCCTGCAGATTTTTATGGGCTGCTGCAGACACATCCACAAATAAACCAGAGTACATCTGTGAACTCTGATACTAAAGAAGAGTGTCCCAAATCTTAAAGCTCAGATTGTGCAGTGGATCACCCTAGCAAAACAAGTTTTCTATTTTTAAGGTATATATGAAAAGGACATATTTAACATTTTCCTGCATTGAATATACTTAATTCATTTGTTTGATTTAGCTTGTTTTATTTCAGGTGTAAATCATATGCTTATCACTAGTAATGGGCATATTTTCAGAATTTTTTTGGCTTTCTAAGACTTGTGTTCTATTTTGACATATACTATCTGAATCCATTTCTTATAGCACTGTTACAGGTCTTATTTCTAGGCTCACATTTTTTTGAAGCAATAATATTGCCTTGCATGAAGAATTACTGACATTAACAAATTCCTTTACTTTTTATAATCTAAAATATGGAAGTATACTATATGATATAAACAGTGACTCTGTGTTTCAGGTGCCCTTCGTTTTAAGAGAAAGATTATTGGATTAAAAGATGAGTTTTACAACCGCTACATAATGAAAAGTTTTTTGTTTGAACCAGTGGTTAAAGCATTCCTCAACAATGGATCTCGGTACAATCTGATGAACTCTGCCATAATAGAGATGTTCGAATTTATTAGAGTGGTAAGTTTGCTAGAGCTTAAATTAGAACTTTAGTTTTGATTATTAGAGAAAATTGAATATGTGGTGATGGTATTTGGGACATACTTTATTATTATTTTGGAGGCTATTCCTTTAACCAAACAATCAGAAATAATATTAACCTTTCTTAGAATCTGTGAATCATTCCCAGGATGATTTATTTGAAAACTAAAGTAACACTGTGTTGGTAATCAGAAAATAGAACTACAGTTGACCTAGACATTTGAATGTTTTTGTTTGTTTTGTTTGTAACTTTGAAGGTTTCTAAAGGGCAGATTTATAACAGACACTTAATTAAACCTAAACATAGTAGCTTAGTAGATCTCAAAATTATCTGTGGATCAGTGACAAACTTTTAAAGGACATGCACTTGGATCCCATCCCAGCCCTGCTGAACCAGAATCACTTTGGAACCTGGACATTTACATTGAAAAGTCTGATAGGTAATGTTTCATTAAAAAGCTAGTGGATAGAATTCTAGCCAACATACAGTAATTATATATTTGTGAATTTAAACTGCTATATAAGAGATTATTAATTTGCCCCAATTAAGCCTCATACGCTAAAGCGTTTTCCTATCTTAATTTGTTACCTTTTTTTTCTATAGGAAGATATAAAATCGTTAACTGCTCATGTAATTGAAAATTACTGGAAAGCACTGGAAGATGTAGATTATGTACAGACATTTAAAGGATTGAAACTAAGATTTGAACAGCAACGAGAAAGACAAGATAACCCTAAACTTGACAGGTAAAAACTATATGATCAGCACCAAGTTGGGTGGTGGTGACTTTTTATAAAGTGCTTAGTTTGGCCTGGGGGGGAAAAAAAGGGTAGTGAGTAAGAGGCTGGGGAGAATAGGCAGGTTGTTCTTTTCTGTAGTGATTATTGTTAGTGTATCATAAATGTATCATTGATGTACAGACCCGTCCTCCTCAGGAGTATATATTAATAAAACTAGTCTTTCTAACTTTAAAGATCTAGTTTGCCTCCAGGTTGACTCCACCTCCTAGCTAGCAACCTGATTTGTTTCCAAATAGAATTGTGCTCCATAGGATTTTCTAGAACTGATTTTAGGAAAATAATCACCAGGCTTTATCATCAGTAACTGAGTTATTTTAGTTACAGTTTATCATAAAATATTGTCTATTTTTTTAACTTCCCCAGTTCATATATCTATGATACATTTTTATAATCTGAAAATTCATGAGTTTATAGTTGTTTTAGCCCCAGTAGACTTTTACAGACTACCTAAAAAATGCTTCAAACTCATTGCCATGGGGTCATAACCAGTTGATGGCTGACCACCCAGAGACTCTTCAGGGGCTGTATAAATTGAGGGAGGAGATTGCCTGTCTTTCTCCCAAGAAACAATTAGTGGATTCGAATTCCTTGCCTTTTGATTGGTAGCACCAGGCCACCAAAGTTCCCTGAAGCTTCCTTGAATGGAGTAAGACTCGACTATTGTTGTGTGAAGGTCTTTACACAAGTGTATTTATTCTCCCTTTTTTTCTGTATTCATAGTATGCGTTCCATCTTGAGGAATCATAGATATCGAAGAGATGCCAGAACACTAGAAGATGAAGAGGAGATGTGGTTTAACACAGATGAAGATGATATTGAAGATGGAGAAGCTGTAGTGTCTCCATCTGACAAAACTAAAAATGATGATGACATTATGGATCCAATAAGCAAATTCATGGAAAGGAAGAAATGTATGTGTAAAAAGAGGGGCAAGGGAAGAGGAAAAAATATTCTTTAGGTTTATTTTTAATTTCTTGACAAAATGGTTGTTTTTCGCTCTAAATGTGTAATGACATAAATTATAAAGGTGCTGTTGTTTGTGCATTGTAGCTGAATTAATTTTGTTGTAAAGATAGATTCCCTTGTAATAGTTTAGCGCAGAGAAGTAAGAGGACTGTAATATTTCAGGAAGGACTGGAATGCTGAAAATTATATTTTTCCTTTAAAATGAGTGGCTATGGATGTTTTGAATTGGCAAAGTTGTGTTGTGTAAATTGATAAATGTGGTAATAATGATTGGCAATATTCCCATTTTTAGTAAAAGAAAGTGAAGAAAAAGAGGTGCTTCTGAAAACGAATCTTTCCGGTCGGCAGAGCCCAAGTTTCAAGCTTTCCCTCTCTAGTGGGACGAAGACGAATCTCACCAGCCAGTCATCTGCACCGAACCTACCTGGATCTCCAGGTTCCCCTGGGTCCCCAGGCTCTCCAGGCTCCCCTGGATCTGTCCCTAAAAATACATCCCAGACGGCAGCTATTACTACCAAGGTACATGTTCAGCCTGCGGACTGGTTCTGTGGCTTCATAAGCAAGGGTTCTGTGACTCACAGTGGAGCTGTGTGAACATAGATAACCTACAGTCACACAGAGTTCATCCAAAAGTTGCAGTATTTCTGAAAGTTTTCATGATTGGTGTAAAAAAGTCTGAATTGGTTATTTTCTAAATTTTCTGTTGATAATTAGCAAAACATACACTAACTCATTTTCATCTTATACATTATTTTTTATGCTTAGTTTTGAATTGTATATGATCAAACCTTTATACCCAAAAAATATAGAGCAACTCTTACTATTGGACTAACAGTTACTCTGTGAGCTTGAGCATGACAGAAGTCATGAGGGTGGTGCAGAATAGGGCACACTTCAGGTCTGTTGTTCATAGGGTCACAGTGAGTCGTAGTTGATGGCACATAAAAACACTAGCAGTAAAAGACTAGAGTTTGGGATTCACTGTTCTAATTGTCCTAGTGGTAAAGGGTTGTACAGCCAACCCAAACACAGGCCGTTTGGATCCCCCAGCTGCTTCTAAAGAGAAGGACATGCAGTCTCCTCCCATGCAGTCTATACAGCCTCTGAAAACCTGCTGGAGGGTCAGCTCTGAAGTGGTTCTGCCTTGAAGGCAATGAAAATCATCAGGAATACAGAGTCTGGGTGGTGCTTAAGTAGAGTGAGTGGTTCAAATACACTTCAAAAGAAAAGCTGAAATATCTGCTTTAGACAGTCTTACAGATTCTGTGGAGTAGTTCTGATCTGCACGCCTGATGGTAGGAAGTTGGGATAGGAACTGACTGCACCACAGCTAGCAGTCAGAACCTAATGCCCATCTACAGTTTCTCCTCTGGTGCGAGCAGGAGATGGGAACTAAAGTGAATCCGAGAAATGGGGGCATTTTCATGCCTTTTGGCAGACAAAGCACACTTGCTGTAGCATGCATCAACTAGAATTAACTAGTGTTCAGTTTTTTATAATCCTGTGATTTTAGTGAAAGATTATACAACAAATTAGCTTATTTTTAATTAGCAAATTCAATAATTTCCACACATACTGCTCATTGACACGACTTTTTTTTTTTTAAGGGAGTTTGTCACCACTTTAATTTCTGTTCATGTTCTGTGCCTGTCTCTTTTCCCTGCACTGCTATTTTTACATTAGAGGACTGTTGGTCTCTTCATTTAGGTGAAATTCCCCCCCCCCCCCAGGAGGGCGAGCACTGCTCATAGGTTTTCACCTTTAAGCTGTTACTTGAGTATAATCTTGGGACAGTTTCTGTTCAAAGTTTAAAGGGTGCCCCAGAGAGTTAGTCTTGGGGAATCCTCTCGTTTCAGCCAGTGTGTTGGCTCTGAACTCATGAACTTGAGTTCTTTCTTTTTTCCTGTTTCTCAGGTTTTCTCTCTTGTAGCCTTGATCAGAATAGTCCATGTGGAAGTTGAGTACAGTCTAGTTCTTCTGGTCTCTGTTCATGAGGCTCTGGTTCATATAGACTATTTGTCCCGTAGTGACCGGTATTTGTATGGTTGTTCGCAAGCTACTGACTAAACTCAGCTGTAGAATGTAACTTTTTTCTATTAGGCTAATTGACCAAGTTGTCCCATGAAACTGTGGTCCTGCACCTTCAAACTTAGCAAGCCTATTCGGCAAGTGTGGTTTTGTCTAAGAACTGTGCCCTCTGTGCTTTGTTTATCACATAAATCTGTCAGGGTGAATACACGGAGATGTAACCAGTGTATCAGGCACACTTTCTGTTCCAGGGCATTCCCATGGCCCCCAGGAGAGCAGGATCATAAGTCACTCCTCTAGGTCTGCTACTGCATCGGCCAGGGATGAGGCTGCAGCCTCTGCGGTCTTCCCTCCTGCACCCTCTCTGAGCCCTTGGTGGAGGGGAGATCTGCAGGAAGAGTGGGTCAGCACCACCACCACTCCACACAGGAGGGAGTCTGCAGGGCTGTAGGAGCAGACTCACTGCCCTCTCACCCCAGGGAAGGAACTCTTCTGTGTGGGGTTTCGGTGGTAGTGGTAGTAATGGCAGCGGTGGCTGCCAAAACTGCAATTATATGTGGTTGGGATGGTCTGTAGCCTTGCTCCAGACTCAAAGATCTTTTTCAAAGTGTTGTTTTGTTGAAATAATCTGTGTTTCTAAACAGGGAGGCCTTGTGGGTCTGGTAGATTATCCTGACGACGATGAAGATGATGATGAGGATGAGGACAAGGAAGACACGCTGCCATTGTCAAAGAAAGCCAAGTTTGATTCCTAATACTCGATGGCTG